CTGGAGAGAAGAGAAGTACGACATAACTACATATAGCTTTAATACTGCACAGTCTGCACAGACTGCAGTTTTCAGTCATTATTCCCACAAAGGACGTGTGAAGGGGTGTGGGTCAATGTGCAGCCAGGGCCTTTCGCTGCAACTGCAGCAGGCTCACGATGTATCTCTCAGTGGAAAAGGCTGTCTCAGCTGCGCTCCATTCAACACCCCTCACTTGCCTCCTCATTCGCAAGAATAATGTGCTTCTCAATGGTACGTGCATCATTTGCTCTGATAATCTTCAATGAGAATTTGCGAAGTACTGCAGATAAGACCATAGTTTCCTCCTTGTGTTGTCGGTGGCTGGCAAATCGTAAATTTAGCAAAATGGCCCTGAGCTACACAGCTTTTGACAGCAATGGGCATGGGGGTGGACGATGTCGCTAACGTTATTGGTGGATGGCCCTTAGTGGGGTATGACCAATCCTCCCTCTCGCAGCCCTTCTACCAATGACGCTGGTAACAAGTGCCCGCATTTTGCAATCGTGTCCGCTGCCCTTTGAGTCACTCTGTGGATAGCTGAGTTAGATAGTCCATCTCAATTTTCAACTGATGTCGTGGTTTTCATGCGACCACTGAACCGCCTCCTTCACCGACTTCTTTCTTTCTTGATGAACGGTTAGAAAATAGTGATCTCAAGGAAATAAGCCCTCATAGACTGACAGTACTCGGGAGAATAGCATTTCCTTCCCTAATAAATTTGTGGGGGCTTCTCTGGACAACAACGACGAAGAATACGATCGACTCGCTGAACATCTTCAGGATAGCGACAGGAAGAGAAAATGTTGATCTCTCAATCTCAGGCTGGTAGGCATTTTTGAGCCGCACAAAAAGCAGTTGAACTTCTCAAAAATCTGGGCTCTGGCCTTATATACACCCGCATGGAAGGCAACATTCATTCTGGTCAGTTTAGATTCCGGCCCCTCACATTCGAGCTTCGCTCAGGATAAACAGAATGATGGCGTACGTACGACCAAACTATCAAAACATTGTGCTGGCGCCTGAAACAACGACGAGGTGTTCAAAACCGAAGGTCTGTCCAGATTTATAGATGGCAAGAATCAGCCGATTACATTACTTTGAAGGAGGAGTTCACCTTTCTTTGCTTTTTTATTTTTCTGACGTGATATAAGTCTGTTCCAAACTACGACGGGTCCTGACGTTTGAGGCATCAGAGCAGACGAACCATTACTCCTCAACTTTCTATGAAGGCGATAATGAATGTACGTGGGGAAGGGAACCCCGTAGAACCCCGTAACGAGGAGAAAAAATCACAGCAAACCGAATTGTTTCTCAGATTTTTCCGTTTACAAACTACACGCAGAATTGGCAAAGACCTTTCAGACAGCGAAATATTACACTCACCATTCAGGGTGCATCTCCGGTACCATACGGAGGGAATATGAACATAAGAGCTCCGGCAGAAAACAAGATGAGGGGAACTTATGATCCAAACTATCAAACATTGGCTGGTCTCAACAATGATGATGTGTTTAAGCCAAAGGTGAGGGATTATCCTTCAGAGACACATTTCCGATTATGTTCCTTCGAAGGCGCATTGCAACTCGAAACTTTCGAGTTCTAATATGAGTTCGTATATGCAAATGGTTTGAAGACAAACCCCATCGTGGATAGTGGTGTTTGATTAGTAAAAATTATGAAGAACACCCTAGGGATCTAGCAGCCTCTCAGGACAAACTGATCGGACCTGCTCGTTTTATGCCAGCAAAACGATATCCTGCCCTCTGGCTAATTCTTTCTTCAGAGCATGCAATGATCATACCATCTAGCGGTTGAAAAAGAAACGAAAAACGAGAAAACGAAAACTGAACTGAAACAGGAAATAGCCCTCGAGTTCTGATGGGCGGGGCGACAAAGGAAGCATCAGGATCGCCACTTCTGAGAACCGTAGCGTCTTCAGAAGTGGCGATTGCTCGAGCGCATGGGACTGTCCTCAAGGGCGTACAAGAAAAGACATTCCCCTAGCAGCACACGTTGGACAGCATTTAAGCCCACTACTGTGATAAGCAGCTCATAGGTATGTGTGAAATTGGAATATGAAGATATCAAGTGACCCGTCCGTGAACATTTCATAGGGAACGATCAGCATCAGCTTTAATGGGGCACATTCGGCATCAAACAATTGTACGGGTAAAAAGCCAGAGGAACAAGTCCACTCGGCTGATGCCTTGTAGCGAACCCCTGAGAACCCATGAAAGATAATGGAGCATCCATTTTACGCTACGTGCCCGTTAGCATAGCTGGCTAGAAGACGAACTTTGAAGGCGTAGTCTGAAGGCAGAGCCACTGGAAGAGGGAGATGCCACTGGAACAACTTTGCACATTAACTCCTTTACCTTATAACTTCCCGCCACGAACACGAGGCTATCCACGGGGACCACATATTTTTTACATTTTCATCGGTCATCGCGTACTGTTCCTACAAGAAGCCGAGCACTGCTGCTCATTGAAAAAGGCGCACCATGACCTTACCCCAACGGAACCGACATGGGAGGGAGGGCTCACTATGGTATACTTGGCCCAGATTTTATTTCTGGGATACTACATATCTTTCCGTACTTTCCGGTATTCATGATAAATTGCCCATGTCCAGTACCAGTCACACTTGCAGAAACATTTATAGTTTGTTGTAAATTGGGTTGCCCAGGCGCCAAAAACTTTGCACTTTATGGCACCTTCGATGGCAAGCATCATTGGCGAAACAAACAATCATTAGTAAATCGATGGTTTGTCTGATTATGCGTGTGTAGCGGTCCAACGGGCTCTGACTCTGTCGCTGTAGCAGAGGAATCAGGCTTTTCTTTCCCTGAGCCTCTGGGCTTCATACTTGGAAGGACGACTGGGACATCACACTCCACCCTAATCAACAGGGCTTTCCCCTCTTGAGTCTCTAGTTTCCTGACTGAGGCAGTTGCTGACCCAAGTGTTATGGAGCCCAAGCTCGCACCCAGACTTTCCTGGGATATCTAATGG